ATCCTCATCGCTCTCCTCTGCACGCACTCCATTCTTTCCACATTCCTTTTGAAGTAAGACCTCCAGAACTGCACACAATACTCCAGGTACAGCCTGACCGATGCAGTGTACAGCGGGACTATGACATCTTGTGATCTGGATGTTATGCCTCTGTTGATACAGCCCAAGATTTCATTAGCCTTTTTTGTCGCCGCATCACACTGGCTGCTCATATATAACTTTCGGTCCAAAAAACCCTTTACACACACTGCTACTCAGAAGTGTATCCAGTATGTGTGTTCCTAATTTTTTTTACCCAGATGTAGAACTTGGCACTTATCCTCGTTACATTGCGTCTTGTTCACATCCGCCCACTTTTCCAGCATATTCAGATCGTGTTGAATTCTATCTCTATCTTCTGCTGTGTTCGCTGCCTCTCCCAATTTAGTGTCATTTGCAGATAGAATGAGTAGCCCCTCCACACCCTCATCCAGATAATTTATAAAAATATTGAAAAGCACTGGGCCCAGAACTGAGTCCTGCGGCATGCCACTGGACACCTCCCTCCATTCAGATGAAATGTCATTGACAACTACTCTCTGAGTGCAGTTCTCCAACCAGTTCCCTATCTACCTAATTATCCTACAGTCCAGTCCACAGTCCTTTAGTTTACCCATCAGGACATCATGGGGAGCCCTGTCAAAAGCTTTACTGAAATTCAGGTAAACAACATCAACAGCATTCCCTCAATCCAGTAAATTCATCACTCGATCAAAGAAGGAAATGAGGTTGGTCTAGCAGGACCTGTTGGGGACAAATCCGTGCTGACTTACCCAGATCACCAAGTTGTCCTTTAGATGCTCGCAGATTGATAGATGCTCACAGATTGATGTGTTCAATACATAGTTGTTGTAGTTTCAATTTTTAAAAAAAGCCGTGAAGGAAACTTGCTGGTGTGAGTAATTCGATATGCAAAAAGGAAATAAGTGAAAGTATGCAAAAGTAACACTCTGGCCCTGTTCTCACAAGGGGTTTTGGGTCGGGAGTGGGCCGGATCGGGGGCGCAGCAAATGGGCGCGATCCCACCGCAACATCTGGGAAGTGTTGCGGGCCCGTTCCCGATCCAGCCCTTCCCCCGACAGCCCCGCAGCAAACATGAACCACCTACCTAGGTGGTTCATCCGGTAGGTCCGCATCACGGCTGGCCGTGGGATCGCCGGCGCGTCTTGCCGCCGGCACACCCGCGGCCCCCGGCCGAACTGCGCATGCTCAGACATGCGCAGTTCGGCAGCCTCCCACTCGTCTCTTCCCGCCCACAGCGTCTCTATTTTGGTGCGGCTCTAATTAGCCGCACTTTGACCGGTGTTTTCCCTGCCGTGTGGCAGGGACCTCTGTCTCATATCAAAGCATGTTTTCAAGCCATCAATGATTTTTTAAAATTAAAATGTTATTAAAAACAAACAAATAACAGATATATACATAAATACAAAATTACATAAGATACATTGCCAATCTATACCCTCTTATGTCCTGGATGTTTTGTTGCCATAAAACACAATGTCGTCTGGCACACACATAAAAAAGTTGGCCATTTTTTACCATTCAGCAGTTTTGGAATTTGCCTTGGTATATAAAATATACCCCAATGAGATATGTGTTAATTTATAAAAGGATGGTTTGAGTTAAACATGATTTCTTAATTCATCTCTACAATAAAAGTCCTGCAATAAGTATCACCATTCCTTCAGATATTTAATTATACCTGAGTACCAAGTGAACTTCCAGGTCCTGAAACCTTGTTACCCCAATTCACAGCCAATACATGACTGATATTGTTCCATTGCCATATATGTGAACCAAATGTATAAAGAGATACTGCACCAAAACAATGAACAATAGAAATGGCACAAAGGGAAAACCTGAAAAGACTTGCCGGAGGCATCTTACTTCCCCCTCTCCCACTATTTCCACTTTCCCTTTCCTGAAAACCCCAATAACCTCTCTTCTCTTTCTGCTTCCTTCTCTCCTTCTGGGTTGCCAACCTGGAGATCTCCTGGAATCACAACGGATCTCTCAAACAGTGTTCCCTCTAAGCTGACTTGGTGTGAGCTAGCTCACAGTTTTTTAGCCTCCAGCTCACAGATTTTTGCCTTAGCTCAGGAAGGAGGGCCTCAAAGCAAACTAATTTGTGGAGCAACTAAATGGCTCACTCACAACTTTAATGCCAGGAGCTCACAAAGTAGATTTTGTGCTCACAAGACTCCACAGCTTAGAGGGAACATTGCTCTCGACTAGAGATCAGTTCCCTTTGGGTTGCCAGCTCCAAGTTGGGAAAGTCCTGGAGATTTGGGGGTGGAGCCTTGGGAAGTCGCAGTTTAGGAAGGGAAGCAACCTGGCAGCATATAATTCCATAGAGTCCATCCTCCAAACCAGCTATTTTCTCCAGGGAAACTGATCTCTGTCATCTGGAGAGCAGTTGTAATTCTAGGTGATCTCCATCCCCCACCCGAAGGCTGGCAACCCTTGTTCCCTGGGAGGAATGCTATGGAAGGTGGAGTCTATGACGTTATACCCTTCTGTCTTCTCCTCAAATCCCACCCTCCCCAGGCTCCTCTCCCCAAACCTCCAGGAACTTCCTAACCTGTTGGCAACCACTTCTCCTTCCCACTCAACAGCCAACCTACATTTACCTGCCCCTTTGTCTTGAGCTCCCCCCCCCCACCCGCC